GGTCATATGGAGTGAGAATTAGGTTAAGGCAATATTTTTTTTGCGTTATTAAACTTTAGGTTTTATTCAAAAAGTTAATTTATAATGTATTGTTTGGTCGATTTTAAACGTTACTGGCATGACACTTACTGCCGTTAGTTAGATTTCATCTAATTTTCAATAAGTTTAAATTAATTTTTACTCAGGGTTCGTTACAAACAAAAAAAAGTTTTATTTGTGATTGTTTTTATTTCTATTGAAATTCGACCGGCTTTGTCGCGGTCTCGATTTCCTTCTTAAATATTAATATATATTCCAGCATAATTAATTTTGTTCTGACTGAAGAAAAGTAAGGTCTCGTTGAATCTGAACAATCAAAAAGTTAAATTTTTCTTGTGGATTTTTCGTTTTGTCCATTATACGAGTTAAAACAGACCTATTAAGTATATATCACTAATGTTGATGCAAAAGATCGCGTGTAAATATGTTTCATCTTTAATTCTATTTGTGCTAAAGGTGACATTTTGTAGTCTGCAACTGACATAAGCAGTCTGCTGCAATGAAAAACAACAGAAAACAATAAAATATGAAATTATATTAAAAAATCATAAAGAAATAATTATTTTGTATGCTCTCCTGTAAAACATTCACAGAACGTTGTGCACTAACAGTAGTGATATTAATGTTCAGTATGCAAATGCTGAACTCTTTCTCAATTTAGTATTCGCTGATGAACAAAACTTGTGGATATCAAACCTGTATTTGTTGAGGAATTACTGAATTTCCGAAAACGACTTCTTTCAGAGATTTTATTATCATACAAAAAATTTTAGACCTTGTAATATAGATATTTTTTATTCAATGAAAATAGTAAGGAAGCTATACTGACCTTACTTGGCAAACATTTTTTTGTTTCCTCACTATCGATGGCAGGGAAGCATTGTATCCGTGCGAAAGGTTAAAAAAATGTTTGTGCTCAGAATCGAAAATTTCCACTCGCGTGTTACGTTTCAGACATCAAGGATCAAATTCGGTTCGGTATGTGTCTGTCTATAGTCAAATCGATGTGACGGGCATATCATCTACTATCGTTCATTCGATTTTCCTGAAATTTCTATCCACTACTCTAAAAAAATGACTCCCGCTTTCTGATCAGTAAACGTATTATCTGATATGCTTATAGTATGAAAACGGCTTGTTCAATTTGACCCAAACTTAAAGGAAATTTGGAGTATAGTTCAGAAATTGTCTAGTATCAATTTCATTTAATTCCGTTTAATAATAAAAATTGATATAAATAACTATTAATAATATAATAAGGCTGTGAAATGTGAAAGGCATTGATCTACATGGATTTGGGATTAGGTTAATAGAATATTGTTATGGGGTTATAACATTTTAGGTTTTATTCAAAAAGTTAATTTATACTTTTTTTTTTTTTAAATTTATACTTTATTGTTTGGTCAATTCCAAACGTTACTGACATGACACGTTACTACCTTCACTTAGATTTTATGTAATTTTCAGTAACTTTTAATTAATTTTTACTTTATTTAGTTAGTAAAAACAAAAATGTCTTATTTATGATTTTTTTGTTTCTATTGAAATTCAACCAGCTCGTCGTGGTCTCGATTTCCTCCTTAATCATCAAAGTTGTGTGAACTTAAATCATATTTTTATATTCCAGCTTAAATTAGTTTTGTTCTGATTGAGGGAAAATATTGGTCTCGTTAACTCCGATCAAACAAAAAGTTGAACTTGTCCAATGAATTTTCGTACAATCCATTTTACTAGTGAAAACGTATCTATAAGTATACATCACTACTGTTAGTGTTAGTTGCACGTAATAATGTTCAATTTTTAGTCTATTGGCGCAAATATTTCGTAGTATGCAACTGATATGGGTAGCCTGGTACTATGAAAAATAATAGAGGAAAATAAAATATGAAATTACACTATTAAATCATAAAGAAATAATTAGTTGTTATGCTCTCCTATAAAACACTCGATTTTTACCAGTCCGTGTTTGGAATTAGGAGAGATAGGACGTCGCTCTGTCAGCCCAAGACATCTAACATATAAGAAACAAATTCTTTTATCTTATTTTACAAAATCGTTTTATTTATTTTTTCTCCTTGTATTTATTTTTTCTATGGGGGATCCCATAGATCTTAAAAGCCCCAAGGCAAAGAGAAAACAACATAGTGGTCGAATTAAATTATTATCTGAGGATAATATAACTCCTTCGAAAATCATTCCAACATTTCTCATTATAGAAAGGGCCGATTGACATGACTTTCAGAAGGGTTCACCATGTTTTATAAACAAATTTTTGACAGGTTTAGTAGATTTAAAAAAATATTAAAAAATTAAGAAATGGCTCTTTACTAATTGAAAACAAAAAATTTTAATTAGTCCGAAAAACTTCTGCAATGTGATAACTTTGGTGGTTAATTTCCAATCTAAATGTCTCCTCACAAAACTTTGTACTTTAGCAGAGGAGTAATTAGGTGTTATGACCTACAATTTCTTGAAATTGAAGAAATAAAAAACGAAGTATCATACCAAATAAACGATATAATTCGTATAGAAAATGAAAAAAAAAAAGATAATGAAATTCTTACTGGCTTATATATAATTACATTCTACACCGTAAACAATAAAAATAGGGTACCACCCAGTTAAATTCCAACAATATATTCCTGATCCGATGCGTTGTTTTGCCTGCTTATCATTTGAACACCCTACGAGCCATTGTAAAGGACAAAGTAAATGTATACAAAAGGGAAGAGACAAGACACGCCGATAACACTAAATGCACTTTGCCCGCGCGGTGTGCCAATTGCGCAAATGGACACTGACACAAGTCTGTCCAGGGATTGCCCTATTTTTAAAATACAAAAAGAGATTAAAACAATCCAAGCCATAAATAAAATTTCACTAAACGAAGCCAAAAGAACAGAACACAACTCACTTCAACACAACTTTCGTAACCATCACAAAACAAAAATTAAATAAAACTGAAAAAAAAGATATTGGCGTTTAAACGGATTCAATTTTTAACTTTGGAGAAAACATCAACAAAATTATACAATTAAAAATATTAATAAAAATCAGCAAACACTAATTCCTATATTACCCACACCTTTAATCGCCCCCTCCTAATCCCCTCCTTCCTCCCCCCCTTTCGTCTTCCCCTTCCGCCTCCCTTCCCGCCACCCATACCGCTTCCCTTCCTACCTCAGAGCCTCCGCGATCAAGATAGAGGGGCCGGACACAACACGCTCCCCGGCAAATTCCATCTAGCAATTCCACTTGAGCACGCGTAAATGTGTTTTCTTAGATATACCAATATTTCAGAAACGACACGTTCAATTTGGCTTAAAGTTAAAAGAATGGTGGGTTTTACTAAAATAATGATTCGGTGTGATTTTATTGAATTCCATCTTTCTCTTATATATGAGCAAACGTCTATATCTCTAAAACCGCACGTTCGGATTGTCCCCAGTTTGGAGGGAAGTTGGTTAGCAGATAATTATGTAAGCATTAGTTTTATCAAATTCTATTTACTACTCACAAAAAAAAAAAATATATTTCCGCTTTCTGATCAGTAAACGAACTATTTGACACGCCTATAGTTTGAAAACAGCTCGTTCGATTTGACCCAAACTCTGAGAAAACTTGGAGAATGGCTTAGAAATGGTCTGCTACTAATTTCATTGGATTCAATTTAATAATTAAAATGAATATAAATAACTATTAAAAATAAACAAGCTGCGTAATTTGAAAGGAATTGATCACATAGATTACTTAATAAAATTATAAATATGGGTTAATAAAATATTTTTATGGGGTTATAAAATTTTAGATTTTATTTAATAAGTTAATTTATACTGTTTTTTTTTTTTTTTGGTTGATTCCAAACGTTACTGACATGGTACTTACTGACTGCTGTTACTTAGATTTCTTGAAATTTTCAGTAAATTTAAATTAATTTTTACTCTGAGCTTGTAAAAAAAAAAATTTCATTTGTGACTATGTTTATTTATATTGAAGTTCAACTAGATCGTCGTGGTATCGATTTCCTCCTTAAATATCAAAGTTGTGTGAAATGACTGACGGTTTAAGCTGCAGGAGGCCTTGACTCACGCTGAGTTTTAGCAGTTGTTAACATTCAGTAAGAAGGTATAATGGACCTAAGATAAGTTTGTCTGAACGGGAAGGGAACTCTCGCAGCCTTTTCTCTCTCAAGTACCACCTCCCCGCCTCATCTCAGTAATTACCTCATATCGACAACGCTTTTTTGATGGTAGATTTTCTTCTAAATTCTAATTTCGTAAAAGAAATTAAAAAAAAAATGGTAAAAGAAATTTTAACTTGTAAAAAAAATTATAGTAGTACATATAATGAGTGAAGACAAAGGAGTGGTAGATCGGCGGGAAAACGTTTTGCCACTGCGCACCTGTCTCTTCCTCTACCCACCGCCAAACTTATCTTAAACGGACTTAAGCCTAAATGTTCGTGAATTTCAATTTCCTTATTAATTTATCAAGATTTTTATGTAGATATGTAATTGCATTTCTTCAGAATGGACAGGATTTCTCGATTTCTTTTATCATTTGTTTTCAGTTTACTGTTTAGTTTTTATTGAATGAATTTACAAAGTGCTAAAAACTGCAATGAATCAATTACTGCAGTTTGTATTTAAAAGGCACAGCTTGAGCAATCTTGCTAAACCTGAACAATAAATTATTTTATAAAATATAACGTATAGTTTATCCTTTCCTTGAACGATGCAATGATAGGCTTCCATATATATTCGTTTACATTCAATAAATTAGCGTTACTGATTATATGTACTGCGTAATTTAGAAGCAGTATGGAGGGAAAGGTTAGGTAACATCATGCTTCCATTGAGGAAATTAGTTACCGAACAAAGGCAAAGTGCATTACACAAACAGAGTAAGATCGATATTAAAGGCAAAGATAATATTGTATTGAAATGAGAAGTTATGACTTACTTTAGATCCTGGGAATTCGTGGTTGAGGGTGTCCAGTAAATCTGAGCTATCCAGGTTGTTGATGTTGAGCAATTCCTCGCCCTGAGAGAAAAAAGGGCGGGCTGGTATCTCGAGGGTAGCCTGGATCGGCTTCCTTGGGGGCAAGCCCACGTATCCATGAATGTTGATTGGTGGTCTGATCACGTAAGTCGACTCCACGAGGTTGTTAAATGGATACCTGAAAGTAACAGTTGAATTTAATGCTTTTACATACACATCAATCACACAAGTAACATTAAAATAAATAGAACGATGGCTCTATGTTCCGCTGAAACCCTACCGATGAGTGGTAAAAAACAAAAAAATTAATTAAAAAATAAACGTTTAATTAATTTACAAATGAACTTACCTTATTATCTTAAATAGTTCGTTGTATTTTTCATTTTTTTTTTAGCCAATTTCTTTTCATCACAAAGATTCCGCTTAATTTATTCTGGTCAACTAGGTCTCAGATTAGTTATACGGCGTAGTAAAAATTTAATTCAACATTATTTCAACACTTTTATAACTATCTTTCACATTAAATACTAGTTCCTCAAGGGAACGTATTGGGTCCTATCCTTTACATTCTATTTACCGCTGATATTCCTACTCATCCTGAAACCCTCCTGGCAACATTCGCTGATGACACGGCCTTCCTATCTTCCAATTCAAATCCCGAAACAGCATCCTTTAACCTACAAAGTCACCTCTCTCTTATTGAACACTGGTGTAAATAAGTGGCGCATCCAAGTAAATGAATCTAAATCCAAACACACCACCTTCACCCTTCGGCGCAAGTCGTGTCCACCGCTTTATTTCAACTCCATACCAGTTCCCCTCTCCGACACAGTTCGGTACCTTGGCTTCCTTCTAGACAAAAGACTAACATGGAACCCACATACCAGACTTAAAAGACAACAGCTTAACCGACGATATGGCCAACTATATCGACTACTCAAAAGAAAATCTCAACTTTAAGCTGAGAACAAACTACTAATCTACAAGACAATCCTGAAATCTATCTGGACCTACGGACTCGAATTGTGGGGGACAGCAAAACTTTCTAACATCAAACGGATTCAATCCTTCCAGTCTAAAGTTCTTCGAACAATAGTCGATGCTCCCTTTTATGTAACCAATAAAATCCTGTACAATGACCTTAATATCCCATTTGTACTTGACCTAATCCCAGACAAATTTTCCAAATTTCACCAAAATCTCACTCATCATCCTAATCCTGTAGCACAGTCTCTATCTACTTCCAGTCATCCCTACAATCCTCCTCGGAGGTTAAAACGGCATTGGCCCCGCGACCTTTTGTAGAAATATATATATTGAAATACTAACACTGGCCAGATTCTTCACTTATGCGTCTGTTGCTCTAGTGCCCTCCATCAGTCTCCACTGGATTACAATACCAGTGACGCGGCTGGGAGAGAAGCACTGGGATCTCCTGGAGTCCTGCTTTGGCTTCCACAATTATGGGACAAAGCTTGATTCGGAGTCCCCTAGGCTAATGTAAATATTGTACATAGGTGTGAATGTGTTTTATTTATTTTGTTATCATTCGGCTAATTTGTTATTTTACTTATCTTGTATATTACTTTATCTTTTTATTTATTTTTTTTTTCCTTCCTTATGTACATATTGTGTGAATGAATACTATAGTACCGATGCCCTTCAGAGTAGCTGACTGTATTAATACTCAACAACAACAAAAAAAAAAATAAATATGAAAGTAAAGAAGTGACCTATGGGTAGCTTTCTTATTTTGTATAAACATTCTTAAAGGTTTTGATAGTATGATTCTTCTAATCTTAGAAGCCCACACTGGCGGAACCAGGATTTAATTTTTGGGAAAGGCTTCAGCTTGAAAGCTTTTTTTTTTTTCATATATATCTATATATAACGATAATTGTTTTGGAAAAAAAAAAGAAAGAAACTAACTACCTATATGAAATGTTTTTTACGCGATTCTTGGAGTCCTATTAAATGTAAATACACGAATAATAATACTTTAAGAGATAATTTTTTAATATTTTTTCCATAAAACATTTTTATATTTTACCATTTTGAGGCGGGGCTTCAGCTCGAAATCCTCCTCCGCTCCCTAGATCTGCCTGTGCAAACTCATGGCATGAAACTTGCTTTGTGGCAAATTATCGGAGACCAAAACTATACCGAAACAGACACGGAGAGTATCCCATGATATTATATTTATAAATTTATCTTATTTATCTTTTATTAATAAAATTTTCTTATTAAGAATTTTAATTTATTTTATTTACTAATAAAAGTATCAAAAAAGTAAAATATATCTTCAATTTTTATTGAATTAAAACAGCTATAGTCCGTGGTACAGACCACTTTTTATCAAATCATTAACATCCGGCTGAAAATTCGTAAAGAGCTTCATCTCATCGTAACCTACAAATATTTTATTTACGAAAATTTTCGATATTGGGGCGTTTTCAATTTGGAGGTCGGCAAACTTAGATTATAGATATAAATTTTAGTCCCCAATTAAATAAACAAAGATTGCCGACCTCCAGATTGAAAACGCCCCAATTCCGAGAATTTTCATAAAATATTTGTAGGTTACGATGAGATGAAGCTATTTACGAAGTTTCAGCCGGATGTTAATAATTTGCTACAAAAGAGTCTGTACCACGGACTACTGATTCATAATGGGGTTGCAAACAAGTGTCTCTTCTAAACCACTACAGTTTAACATTAGTTACAAATATTATTACAAAATAATTCTAACGATAACGTTTTATTTCATCCCCTTATATATCCGACATCTTTGTTGTATTAATAGGATCTAAAGTTATTTATTTTTCCAGATATAGATCTTAAAATCTAATTTTTACATCTAGAGAAGATATTAAACCATTTACTAAAAAATAGAGCAAATAAAGTAAATAAATAATTTATTTTAAAAAACCGACAGTTGGAATAACCCTGTGCATCCTATAAGAATTACATTTATGATTTAATTAAAAAATTACTTAGTAAATTGAACATCATACTTAAAAATCTCGTGTAGCGTGCAAAGTGATTACTAGAAACCGAATTTTCATGCTGCAAAAAACTCAAAATCGTGCAGTAAAATTCCAAAATACGTAAAATTGTGTAATTAACGTCTAAACGTGCAAAATAATCAAAATTGTTTAATTTATAACCTTAATACACCGCAATCTCATTCGATATTGAATTAAACGAGAGATTAAAAGAAATAAATTAAAATTGACAATGAAATTCCAGATTATAATCAACAAACGACAAAAATAAATATAATACAATAATAAATTACGATTAACCTAAATTGAAAAAAAAAAGAAGAGAAATTTAAACAATAATAAGGATTACATAAATCTTAATCCTTATAATAAAATTATGTAATCCTTATTAATTACATAATCATGGACTTAATATCCTTTTCTTTTATTTTACAAGAAACATCCAAGATGAAACATAAAACAATTGGATGAAACATCTGTTAATTTTTCCGTCTAAAGAAAAAGGTCTTAATAACTAATACGCTATTGCTATTGTCCTTGAATGTGACAGATTGCAATATATCTAAATAAAGACTATTTAAAAAAAAAAAAAAAAACTAACAGACAAATAAAGAAACATATTTCTTTGAGTTATACTTAAATTGGCTAATTGGTCAATTGTCTGACATACGAGGAATCAGATAATGCTGAACATTGAAGATTTGAAGGAACAAATGAAGAAAGGAATTATAGGTACCTATATATTATAAGACCAGACCAATTATAGATATTTAACTTTTATTAAAAATAATAATGAAAACTTTATTTTATCATCAAGTTAAAATATACAAAATTATACATTCCAAAACTTTTTAATTAAAATTTAAAGAATTTTTTAGAAATGTTAGGAATACACTGTAATATTTGAGATATTCAAGTATTCAAATATTAGTGTCGAAGCTGTTATTCTGAATCACTAAAAAAAATATTTTTGGTATTACCTTCTTTCTAAAAAACAAACAAAAAAATTCAATTCTTTGATTGGAATATTTTTGTCTAACATGTTCTACAATGAGCGTCTATCAGTGATTTCCTTGCACCCGAATAATTTTTCATAAGGCGTATAGAACCTTCTCATTAAATTCTTTCTTATCAAATTAGGATATTTTTATGTACAGATTTTAATTTTTGACGGGAGGTTAAATTTTAATTTCAGCATTATTATTATTATTATAATATTTTTTTTTTATAAGAAAGAAATTACTACAATTAAAAACATGAAGGGCTGAATGGATGAATGAGAATTCAAGTAAAAACAAAAATACTAACAAAACAGCTTATTTTAAGGAAGCAGCTTTTTATTATCTAATACTTTAGGCAAGTTCAATTTCAAGAATATTTCTCACTTTTATTAACTTCTTTCTTTGGTAATGTTTTTTTATTTATTTATTTATATGATATTTACAACTGTATACAAAAATACATCTGGTAAATTTGCACATGGATATAATGACATGAAACACATGTTGAGAAACTACCCATTGGTAGCACTCTAATAATATGTCTATATTAGAAGATCACGTGGCCATCTTCTTTTCAGACGCCTCGGAGGGTTATCAGGAATTGAATAGGAAGCAAGGTTAGAAACAAGAGGGTTGGGATGGTTATGAAGTTTATTATGGAAGGACAGATATCTGGATTGGGCCAAATCTGATACATAAGGAACATTAAGGTCATTATGGATAATTTTATTTGTAACAAAGTAAGGAGCATTGAGGATTTTACGAAGGATTTTGGATTGTAAGGATTGGATGCGAGAGGAATTTGAAGGTTTGGTGGAGCCCCATAGCTCAACTCCGTAAGTCCAAATAGGCCTTATTATAGTCATGTAAATGAGTCTTTTATAATTAATTGGAAGGTTAGAGCGTTTGTCTAGTAAGTGTTGAAGTAGTCGGAAACGTCGAGCTGTTTCTTGTCGTTTTAGTCTGGTATGAGGATTCCAAGTTAGACGTTTGTCCAGATGGAGTCCTAGGTAACGGATTTGTTCAACAGGAATAAGTGAGGTGTTGTTAAAGGATACTGAAGGACGGAAGTCATTGGTTTACGACGATGGTAATGTTAAATACGATTTTTGCTTTTAACAGAATTATTTACCTTTCTCATATTTTGAATAATGAATTTAATTGAAACAATATAGAATAATAAAAAGGTGAATATTAACATTCACATATTCATTTCTATTTATAAATCAACTAATTTATCACAAAATGTGCAATTTAATGCAAGAAAAATCAAAATCTACAATTTTGTGCAATATAAACTCTAAATATGTTGTTGCACAGATCATGAAACGGATACATTCGTCTAATAATTAATGGTTTAATAATGATTTGCCTGAGCAAATAGAGCTGGAAGACAATAAAATCCTCCTACCCTATCATTCTATTTAAACCACATAACTCCAGTTTAGGACCTCAATATACAAAGAGAGATTTGAAAGTACTCAGATAAATCTCATCTATGACTAAGGAAGGATTGTACTATTTAGTTGTCATATATAAATCTGCATCTCTTAATACATATTTTTTTAATCCAATTTTATTTTCTTAGCAAAATTTAACAAAATGGGATAACGCAATTTTTGTTGCCTACCCCTTCTATATTTCATTACTTGTCACTATTTTTTAATTCATTTTTTATATATTTTGTTCTCTCCAAACTCCAAATTATCTTGGTTTATAAATTTAAACTTTATTTAAGCTCTGCTTATTTCGGGTAGTGGCTTGTAGAAATAAATATAAGATTTTTTTCAGATCATAATAAACGTTTTCTTTACCTCTAGTAAATAATAGGAAGAAAATATTAATTCCCTATAGTATCGATGTAAATTAACAAACGTTTTATAATCAAATTTAAACTATTTGAAGTTCAATGTTCCTCGTGCATTGTTGGATATAATTAAGATGGTTGGATAAGCCTGTCATGGTCTCTTATTTATTTATTATTATTATTTTTTTTTTGAACGAGGAGTAAATATTACTACTCCTATTTAAAGGTTCTCTTCAAAGCACTCGGACTAAAATATAGTAAATATTTTTATTGATACAAGACTTTTTTCAAGTTTTGTTTCATGTTTCGGAAAGATTAACAAGATGATTACTATGTGACTTGTTTCTTTTGTTCAGCTTTTCTTTTCTTTTTTTTTTTCACAACAGCAAAACAGAGTTTCTAGGGAAAATTTTAATTTAAGAGGAAAACAACTATGTTTTGTTGAAAAGTGACAATACTTTTTGCCAGACGCACCATTGATGAAGGCTTTCATGAAACACATCCTTATAATATATTTAAAAAAAAAAATCTCAAATTCAAAAAACGAATTCTGATGCCTTAACGGAATCCAGCTGTCAGAAAAATATTTGCTGTCATGAGAAAACTGGATGGAATAGGCAATTATATCCAGAATCCCAAGTGAAGTAAGGAGAAATATTCGTCCAGCATATTTTGCACTATTTCGAGAACACGAGAATAATGTAAATATATAACTACTATTTGTAACTATATATATAACTAGCCCTATATGAAAAAGAAAATACTAAATAATCTTAAAAGAAATGGTAAAGACATTTTACCTCTGAAAGAGATCTATTGTAATGAATAATACATTCTAATACCATTAATTATGTCATTGAACTGAAGTAATGTTTACCTGATAGGATTGCGGTACATTGGTTATATAATAAATAACAGTTGCTCTCGAATCTCATCAAGATTGTAAATGAATGTATTACATTCATACATTTATTTAGCATCCACATTTCTTTTTCATGTGACATTATAGTAGTTAAAATTCAAATAAACATGGAATGCATGTTATAGTATGTGTTTTTCAAGAAAAGCGGTTTTTTGGTTTACCTTCCTTCGGGAGGTGCATATCTTCCGTCGGGACGTTGGACGATGCGAATAATGGAAGCGTTGATATCCGGATCTTGCCGGTGGGACGGAAAATGGGACTCCCTGTGCCGGGTCTCTAACAAGACTCCGTCAGGGATGGCGATGCCTTCCTTGTTGAGCCTGTTCAAGGCCAAGCGGTCCGTCCTGAATGCCTCCTCCGGGATTTTCCCACCGGAATGTGGTAGCACCTGCTCCCGGAATATCTGTCTCTTTTGCTAGAAGAAAGATCACTCGTTAAAATAACCAAAATATATTGTTTGTCATATTAAAGAAGTATTTTTAATCATTTGTTTCAAGACACTTTTCTAATAGCCAATATTAAAAAATAAAACATAAATAAAAGGGGGTCAAATATGGAATCTTCCTTCCTCTGTACAATCCTAAGAAAACATTTGTTCTTATATAACACACTAATATATCTTAAGACTTATTTAATGGAATTTATTCTGAATTTCGTGCGGTAAATGATTTGAAAGATCTGCTTTGTACAGGTAGAGGTATTACTAAAAATGCAATATGCATAAATTTTGATTAACACAAGTGTAAGAACCTTTGCAGAAATACAAACACAAATACCAATAACTCTAACAATATTTCATAACTAGAATGAAACCGCAGTATCTTTACAAACACACTTTGAAAAGTCATTCTATTATTCCATCTTGAAGATATTTGAACAAAGCGATAGAAATAACATAGCATCTGTGGAATCACTGATATTAAATGAGAAAGTGATAATAAATCCCATGTTTTCTTTTTAAGTTACATGCAATACCTGGCGCCATATGTTCATACTCTTCCATTCTGTCTGTATTGTTTTCCTGTTGGCACATTCCGAGTTCAAAATGTATACGTAATTCTTTTTTCCTATTAATAATGATCAATTTGAGATTAGGATCAATTCCCGTTTGTACTTTTGTCCACCTAGATTGCTCAAATTACTTACTGTGCGACGCACAATGTTTGGTGGACAATACCTTTAATTTCTTCTGATAATATACCAATGTAAATTGCATACAGTTTCCAGTCAAAATAGATGACTCTGCTGATTAGGATAGGGGAGATTTAAAAATGGTGGCCGATCCAAAATGTAAAAACAACTCATTGTCCCATTAGTAATTAGCTTTGACACAAAAACCCACTCTATCACTATAAAGCCACTTTGCCATGTGAGTGATGTGCCGAGCCTTGTGCAAACAAAATCCATGCTAAAAAAAACGGAAAAATTTATTTATTTATAAAATATGAAGAATATTTATTACTTTCCACTCAAAGAAAGAAATGACAAGACAGTAAAGAGATCCCAATGAGAGAAAAGTCGCAACTGTTTATTTATTTTTGGGTAAGTTCTTCTTGAATAATGTACAAAAATTATAGGATTTAGACCATCAGATTGTCAGCGACAACGAACAGAATAAGATCTAATAAAAGGAAACATTTTTTTTTTTAATTGAATATTATACATTCTTTTATTTTATTTTCTTCTTCCCTTGCCTCTCGGCAATACAGATTTTTGGAAGAAGTAGTTGATACTTTTACCACTTATCTTCAGGCTCTTCATTCTTCGTTAGCGGAAGTTGAAATGATCATCACCGACTACTTCCTTCCACCCGTACACGAATACTTCATAGTTCTGAATAGTACGCAGCAGAGCCGTTCTCTGGATGGTTGCCAATCTCCTCTTCTGTAGTTGTGAGAGGTTACGATTCCAAGCTGGAGAGGCGTACCTCAAGATACCAAGTACTACTCCATTATAGACAGTAATGGTTGCTGGGTACCTGAATCCCCAGAAGGCGCCACCAATACGACTTATTCCATTGAGGGCTAGGTCACCCTACTTCTGAGGTAATCCAAGTGAGGAGTAACATTGAATCTTCTATCGAATCTCACTCCAAGATATGTTACTTCCTCACTCAGACTTATCATTATCCATTGTACATTAATAACAATAGAGTGAGCCGAACCGTCTTACCCTTTAGAAGAATAGCTTGGGTTTTGACGCCAGATATTTTTAACCTTTTTCTCTTGCACCATTCTCCGACAAGATTGGCGGACCTTTCTACTTCTCCTTTCAAGCCGGCTCTGCTATTGGATGCCACCACTACGGCCAGGTCGTCGACAAAGGCCGTGGCAGGAAACCGCTCCTCTTCGAGTACCCCCGGCAATTCATCGAATACTAACTTCCAAGGACAGAGCCCTGCAGATATCCCCTTTCCACTCTTTCTTCGACTTCATAGAAGTTGCCGCATACCCTTACTTTTCGATCTTTTAGATAACTCTGCATTAAGGCATGCAAGTTGCTGAGGATGGTCCATATTGCCGTGGATGGCTTGCTTTGTTTACTGTCGGTCTCAGACTGGTTATTATTAGGTACTCCAGGACCTTACTCATCACAGGGAGCAGACAGATTGGTCTGTATGATTTAGCGACTTGACTATCTCTATCACCCCCCTTGTAGATCACTCTCAAATCGGCAATCTTCCACTCTATCGGAAAGTACCTCCTGTTAAAATAGTCATTAAAGATGTTCAAAAGCCTTTCCTCATTATAAGGGGTACTGTTCTTCAAGATTGCAGCATCAATATCGCCTAGTCCTGGAGCAACACCGATTCGATGCCTATCCACAGCACATCGGAGATCATGGATGTCCCATGGGGGGTATAAGTTACAGGTCTGTTACAGGTGGATATACCGTAGCGCGCCTTATGAACGTTTCATCTTCGTTGTCGTGGGATGCATCATCCCTGGGATATGTTATCTCAATGAATATTTTTGCAGCCTCTTCAGGAGTGTTTGCTTGGGAATCTCTATGTTTTAAAGCTGCAATAGTCATTTTTCATGTCTGCATCGGAGCATTTTTCCCAGAGCCACTCTGTAGGGAATACACCAGGAATTCTTCGTTGTTTCGCTTTTACTTGTTTCGAAGTGCAGTGCGCCTCTCGTCGCTACTACACTTCTGAACCGTCACAGCTGAACGTCGAGCCTTGTAGAGGTCTCTTTTCAGGGTATTTAAGGCCGGCGTCCATGACCACGGGGATGGTCAGGCTCTCATTTTCCTGCGATGAAGGGAATTTCCTGCTGCATCACAGATGACATCGGTGATCCTGGACACCCTGTAGTCAAGGTAATCCGTCCAGTCTGTCTCACCTCCTTCCCATTCTACATCAATTAGCTTCTCCTCCAACATAGAGCAGAAGGTACTCCTGTCTTTAATACGGGTTTTGTAAGTCTTATCAATACCGAGGGAACAACCTGCATTCTGCAATAGGAGAAATGCTAGAACATTGGGGTCGAAACCGTTCTCAGATCTGAGGGTCCAATCGACAATTAGGTTTACTAGCGTCAGTGAAACTGGCGTTACATCTATCCAACTTTGGCTCATAGGCCCTGAGAAAGTTGGTGTGTCAAAGGAATCGTTAATTACCACTAACTGATTCCTCGCAATAAATTCACCAATTTTGACGCCTCTTCTATTAGACCATCTAGATCCCCAGACCATGTTCCAGGAGTTATCATCTGAGTACATGATCACATTCCTGGTATTTCCTGTGATCGCTTCCAGAGCGCCATAATTCTTCGATATTATTTCCAGCAGGTAGGCAGATCGAGATTAGCGTGAAAGTAACAGTACCCAACCTGATATAGCATGCAGCACAATCCGCTGTGGTGTGTTGTCTCAGATCCATCACGTCAAGGTTTGGTTTGATTTATCACAATTGCTGCCCTGGGCCTCCTCTCTCCACTGCTCAGAGCGATTAACCTTGACGTGAGGTCAAACCCCGTAACCATGTTCCTACGGCAACTTGACTCTTGGACCCCATGACATCGTACTTATCGAACATAGCACACAGCTCGTCAGCAACGACGCGCCGACGGACCATGTTTAACTGGAGTATGTTAAGCTTATTCATAATGTTTTTTTTTTCACTCCTTCCAGTGTCCTCTGAATATGTGTTGGGCATTCAAGGCTACGCGATTGATGCTTAGCCTTGTTCTTTGGGATTCCTTCCCGTAAGCAGTTGGCATACGTCACATCAATCCTCTTCGTCTTTTCTTGGACTGTTCTCAGCAATGTGCCATTTAACCGCACACCACTTACAGATTATTCTTTCTGCCGAACATGTTGCCTTCGTGTGTCCTTATTCCTGGAATTTTAGGCAACGTTGGGCATCAGGATAGTCAGTAATAGTTAAGGATGACCTCCCTCCGGCTATTACTTCCTCATTTAGCAGGTAAATACAGTCTGCCACACTGAAGGGCATTGGTAGTAGGGCAGTAGGGCTATAATACTCATTCACACATATTAGTAAACATAATTTTTTTTTTTTAATCTCCATCCATAGCAGATGCTAAATATGAAATAAAAATATGAAACTAAATAGAAATAATAACAATAATAAAAATGGAGCAAATAAATTATGTACATATTTACCAACTTATCTATTTACAATTGGATAGGGAATGGTTAAAGGGCTGAAACTTAAATATGGGAAGGGTATTGTAGCGAATGATGTGGGAAGGGATGGGATATGAACGCGAATGAGATTATGAATGATTTGGTATTAACAAAGTTCAACTTACCCTAAAGAATATCACAATGGAAAACATCCAACTCAAATATTAAGAAGAAATGTATTTTAATTTAAACTTATTTATTAATCCAAGGACAAATGTTTTAACATGCATTGTAAGATGGATGAGATATTAACTATCAGATAAATTAAAATTTTATATAAATATAGGGGATTTACATAAATATATTGTTGATAACATATTTGAAATATAATAATTGTTATGTTTTATCAAACAGATTGAAGTGCTTTTGATGATGGTTGAGTAACCCGAAACCTTAGAAGGAATAAAATAAAGAATTACCAATTACTTATAAATACCTATTACTTATTCTATTTTATCAGCCTTATAACGGTACTAAGGACGACAGATCTTACTTGACCGTACACTGCTTCCATTAAGTCGGTACCAAAAAATGAGAAAAACTTGACGGAGAGCGTTGATCATCATGATCATGATCATGATCAAATCACGTCACAACGATTGGTTTAGAAATAGTACTTTATTGCTTCCTTAAAACATAACCCAAGAGACTTGTAGAGGAAAAGGTTTATTATTAAAGTGATATTTTTTATTATGCAAAAAAAATGTTGTGTACATAATAATAAATTAGTAAATTTATAGCATTGTATATTTCGTTGAAGGAAAATTACCAGAGGTTGGTCGAGGATTAGAATCGGACAAGGCTCATGACAAGCAGCTTAGGCAAGGAAACTCGCAGACAATTGGCGCCTTACCTGAGGATGGACAGGATGGGAATTAACAGTATTGGCTTTCTCCGCCTTAATAGGTGTTGCGCATCTTATGGCCGCATTATCTGGAAGAACATGATGGCCGATTCAATGAATGTCCTCTTCATAAAGGTTTGCCGGAACATAGGTTACCTAACCACCTCTCATACTAACGCCTTTCTATATGAGAGGTTACAAATACCAATTAAATATTTATGGCATCAACGGCTAAATACCTTTCTATAAAATAAAAACTCTTTACAGCTATTTAACCAACTTTCAGGTTTATCTACCATGTCATTAAAATGTGTTTTAATGTAATCTTTGAGATGTACCGTATCTAATAGCAATCTTGATATCTCTTCCATAAATGTAGGCAAAATTTATATATTAAAAACATTTTTTTTTTGAGAGGTGATAAAAAATAAATAAAGCATTGCAAAGGGAAAGCTTTCGGTTCAATTACCCCACCGTGTGACGGTGGCATTGGCAAAGAAAAGTAAGAAATAAAAACAAGCCGTTGATGACCTCCAAAGTAATTCAAGGAGTGTTCACACTGTCTAATTGCCCCACCGTCTATTTCTTCAGATCCCTGCTTTCCCAACTTACTGACCTTTACTCTCATCTTATCCAAGTTTGATTAATGTACGATCTCATTAAAGACAACAAAACAATGATTAGGTCATATTGTAATTGTAATTATATATCTTTCAGTACATATTCGAAACAGCTTCGCTAAAATGTCTTCAGCACATAAACCATCACATTTCTGAAATGTACATTTAGGCCGAGTAAATCTCTCGTATCCTTTACTAACTCCTTACTTCTTAGTAGTAGTTGATCCGGGATTTAATTTTTTTGGGGGAGAAGGGGCTTCAGCCCGAAAGCTTTTATATATTACGATTATTATTTCGAAAGAAAATGAAAAAAAAAAACTATATGAAATGAAGAGATTCTTTAAGTCCTATGAAATGTAATTACCCAAAGGATAGTTTTAGAAATACTTTTTTTCATAAGACGTGATTATATTTTAACATTTTTGGAAGGCTTCAGCCTGAGTCATGATCATCATTTGGCTTAAACCATAACCTTATATGGCTAGTTATGTGGGTATAATATGTGGAACTAATTCTGAAGTTTTCAGTTATCGTAAAATCCACTAATCCTGTACAATTGTAACTACACTCGTGATACTTCCTATGGTTCGAATAAAAGTTTATTCTTCCCAATTTTAGCATTAAAGTTGCCTAAAATTATTTTCGTATCAGATTTGGGAAGTCTATTTCATGTTCTGTCAAGAAAATCGAAGAGAATATAAGAAAAGAAAATATAATATATACTTATCTTCATTTTTTTCTTCAGTCAGGTGCGCAATGATTATATAAATATTGTTTTTCAAAAATATCGTTTCATTCAATTTAATTGTACATCTTCTTTCTATTATCGCTGCGTGACTAATGAGAGGATATTATAGGAAGTTTTTAACTAATAATTATGTATTTTTTTTGTTTTTTCCAGATATCGTCGAGATTCATCATTCAGATGATACGGAGGTTTGTTCGGAATGAATGTAAAATCATAGTAAGTCATAACACAGTGGCGGAATAAGAGAAAGGAATCATTCTCCTAAACTTATTTAGTGTTATAAATATATACTTCATTTTTTGATAGTAAAATTAATTATTACAATATTTTTTCTACTATTTTATGTTATTTATTTATTGAGTATTACAACAATCTGTCACTTGGACAATTACAAAACTAAAAAAAGAAAAAAAATAGTTTGGGCATAATTTTTGTTGGGGCCGGGGGTATTTCAAAATTAAAACACAAACCCTTCTCCGGTGAGGTTCCTCAAAGGTGAGAAAATTCGAGAAAAATTAATGTTGGGAAACAAGGAAAAAAAAAAAAGAGTAAAAATGAGACCTGTAAAACATTAAAGAAAAAAACAAATGCATGCAAAAGAAAATAATATTAAATAGAAATATTTAATCAATGAAAAATCCCCTTTTGTACATTTACAATTTATTGAATAAAAAAAAGATCTAATTATGTAAAAAAGTTAAGATCAAATAAAGAGTGGATCAATATAATCCATACAAGATCAAATACTCAGTGAACATAAACTCAAATTAACAATTATTAATAAAGAAAAAAAATCAGTTTCTAAAATTATAAATAAAACAAGAGAAAAAAATTATTGTCCAAAAGAATAAAACAAATTTAGCAAAGAAAACAGTTAACTAAATATTTAAATGTCTTGCCGATGGTGAGAATACAAAACAAACAACCAAGTTGGAGGTTCTGCTTCCAACCTGTTACCTTCCTATATCTAGCTGTCAAGTAATCGATGGTGGGGTGGTATCGATCCCGATCGATTACTCAGCTGCGCCCAACAGCTAATCTTCGAGAATGGCGCTAGACTGGTGAGTCGAGGTGAACCTGGAGCAGAAGCTGGAAGTAGCCGTCCACTACGTGGATCCAGTGTCATCAAAGGCCCGCTCCAGACTGCCCACCCAGCAGTATTATGGCATTATTTGTGTCTTAATCTCCAAGACTGGGCATTACTGACGGGCTGGTGTGTATACACAAACGCGATAACACATCGCAAACGAAGCCAAATATACAAATAATATAAACTTAAATACATTTTAGGGACAATTGTCCCTCAAACTTTTACCAAAAAAAATAAATAAACATTTTATTGTTAACAATAAAAAAGGGGTAAATTGTGAGAAAAATAATAATGAAAAAAATAAGAAATAAGCCTATGCGGCGTTAACAAGCAATGCAAACCATTATGGTTTTAAAAGAATTCTTCTTTTAAGGGGGCGGGGTGGCCAAATAGGCTAAAGCGTGTGTAACAGCACCGCTAGTTGTCTGGCAACCGGATAACAGAGATTTGAGATGATATAAAAAGTACGAGTTCGCGTCCCGGAGACGGAGGGGATTTTAAATTTCCTCGCCCTCACCCCTCGGCCCGGGAAAATCCCGTATAGTAGCCTAAAAGGCGAGGTAGGGAAGAAAAAAAAAAAAAAAAAAAGAATTCTTCTTCCGACATTTCTTCAATTTCTTTATTCTTATTGAATATCCTTATTCCACTGACGGATTCCGACGTTCTTTATAATTGACAGATTTTAAGATTCTTATGGTTACTGCATTAAAATTGTCTTACAAAAAAAAAATATAGAGAGAGAATAGACACAAATTAAAAATTGTTGATGCTCGTTGATGTCAGATAGTTAAGGCCTACTTCAGGATTCATAACCCCTAAAAATCGGACCAAGAATACGACAAAATGGGCATCCCAATGACAACCTGCTACCTGATAGTAACGCAGGATTAATTTTATGTAGGTTATTTGTTTAGAAAATTAACCGAAAATTATGAACAATAGTCTTAGTTCTATCTTGGTTCATCGCTCGAAAGCAATGGAATAGCGTGGAAGGAAATTGAAAAAAGAGTGAAAATGGAATGGAAGGCTTTTGATATTCCAAATTAAGTGTCTGAAGCGAAAATATTTGTACGAAGGTGAAGAAATTAATATATAAGGCCCTGGTTGAGAGCGTAATGCACTGTAGCTGTGAAATGTGGCCCTTCGATAGATAATGGAAGAAATAAGATTGAAATTGTATTACTAAGTAAAAATAATGGATATTGAAGACTTTCCAAAACAGTATTTGAGTATTTGGAGGCCGAAGGAATGAGAAGAGGAAGGCCTTATGTCAGATGGAGAGGTGATGTGGCAGGCCGAGGACTGACGGAAGACGAAGTGATCAACAGGGAGGCGTAGAAGAACCGACTGAGAGAGGAATTTGGCCGAGAGATACTTCAATTTTGAAGATAAAATCCTTGATTAAAAAAATATATATTATTCGGTTAAGGTAGTTACCAACAACTGTTCCAATTTTTTTTTCGAGGATAATCTTCAATATTCCTGATCCTAAAATGAGTCCAAGTACTTTAACTCTATTAGTAGCTCTTATTTTTTTCTTTGAGTGTTTGCCACGTAGTGTTTTTTCCAACGCTCATAAGCTGCTAGATAAATGGTTATCAGAAATCCATCCACATTAAACGTTAGTAACGAATAATCAATAAGAAACATAAATACAACTTCGAAAGTCAGCACATACTCTTTTAGCACGATCTGAAATCATAGAATGATCCATCAAAGAAAGTAGAATTATAAAGATCTACCAAAATCGATATTTTTAAAATAAATTAAACCAACAAGCGAAACATTTAAATAGGGGATAAGCAACGTGACTATACTATAAATTACAGTTTATAAAAAATATATAAAAACCAAACAACAAACATAATATTGAATTTATTTTAATGTTTATGTTAGTCGCATAAGTGGTGGACAAAAGAAAATACGTAATTTGTCAAGAGTGCTTGATTTTCGGAGTATTTCTGTCATTCTTTAGAAAGGTTCTTGATTGACTTGAAAATAACAGGAATTATGGACTCTTTATGCTCCAGATACCGTTTTCAACAAAGTACAACCTGTATTAAACCTTTGCTAATCGGTGTGTTCCGATTGGAAATAGTCAAGTACATTTCAAGATAGTTTGGTTCTTCTAACCATTATTCCAACCTATAAGATGAAAAGCAAACCCTATTTATTACATCTACTACTGCTATATTAATCAATGAATAAGTAAGAATTTCACTACATAGTAAAAATGATAGGATTGATGATAATTAAATTTGTTATATTGGCAGGATAGCACCCCTCAAGACCTTCAAAAAAGTAGTTATAAACAACAGGCCAATTTTCAACAGAAAATTAAGAAAATCCAGAATTTTGTTTTCTTTTGATTGTCATGTGTTTTGTTGTATAGGGAGCGATAACGAAAGAAATTTTTTATTATTATTTATGGCGCTACTGCCTTCTAAGGCCGTGATACTCCTCACAAATAGCCTGCCAGGCTGGTCTCTCGACAGTAACAGCTTTCCATCTTCTGACTCACAGGTGTCTTAGGTATGCCTTAACGTCGTCCAACAATCTCGTCCCCATAAACGTCCACGTCTTCGGATACCTCCTGGTTTCCCATACATTAACTGTTTTGGGGGGTGATTCTCCTTCCCCCCTTCTCACCCTCCCATACGCTCCTCCTGACCAAACCACCTCAACCTTCCCTTTTTAATTATGACCACTATATCAGGCTGGTTTATGGGCCAATTTTCATTTTAAAAAAGTAATAAATCCAAGGTTTGTGTTTTTTTAAGTATGCCATGTTTTTTCATAGAACAGTTGGCAATAACTTAAGAAAAATTAATTTAAGCAATTAAAAATTGCTTCAGTGTAAACTAGAGAAATTTTATGTCAAATAAAAATAGAGTTTGCTATTGTCAAAAGCATTTAAATAGCTCTTTTGTTTTCTGTTTCAAATCAGATTTTTAAAAAAACACAAATTATTCGCGATTTTTTTATCATCACTAACTATACTGCAGATATCCCACTCATAGAAAAACTTCCTCGATTAAGAAGCTTTAAGTTAATATTAATTATATTGAGGTTTATCAGACAAAAACTAGAGATTCATCCCAAGTTGTGTAAACAAAATTATCTCATCTTCTATCCTGTCACCTATTAATACCAGTGTTTTCAGAAAAAAATACTGCAATTAACTGTTGCAAAGCTTTTATTTCTTTTTTTTTCTGTGATCTGTGATTTATTTTAATAAACATAATTGCCTAAATACACTTCATATATATATATATATATATATATATATATATAATATATATATATATATATATATATATATATATATATATATATATATATATATATATATCTGGTGTGCGCAACATACAACTTTCACTTACCGCTCTACTTTGAATAGAAACTATTTTCTGGCAATGTTGGGCTAATATAAAATTAAAAGAGCATTTTGAACGGAGCTAAAGCTTAAAGCTTACAGATAACAAATCATTAAGACCATTAAAATTACAAAAATCTATTTATTACGTCGTCGATAGGCAATAAAAATCTGTTTTTATAAACCATACAACCCAGTCTCTGAGCCTTTCAATTGACAGAATGACCAACTACAATTTCAACGTTTTTGAATCATGTCATTTTTGTGATATTTCTAGTTGGAAAAGTTGTATCTATACAGACCGTGAGTAAGTTAATTCCAAAGTGTACAAATATAGAACTGCGAATAAAAGTATTCATTTTGCCACTAGAACCATCACTAAAATTAATAATGAAGAATGTTGAAATCGGAGTTAGTCTTTTCGAAAGGCTCATATATGCCTAGAGAGATTTGAAAGTGCATCTGAATATTTAACCTATAAATGATTATCGGTTATAGGACTATTAGTTATTAAACTGTCATTTTCCATTTTAAAGTTTACTATAATAATATTACGATATTTTCATTGCCTGCTATGATTAGGTCAAAAATTGCCACACTAATTGTAAGTGGACTATGTTGGGATTTCACAAAGAGAAAATTCATCAAATTATTCACTAATTTAATTTTCTAAAAACTAAATATAATATAACTAACTAAATATAATTATATAACTAAATATACTTAATATAACTCTAGAGAGTTATTAAACTACAGTAAATATATTTAAAGTTATAA